ACCCTCTGAATTTCCCCCCTACATTTTTAACAAAGTATTTCAAAGTCCAGTAGAGTGATCATAGATGTGGACTGCAAAAAACGCAGCAAAATCATATATATGAGAAACCATTTGACAGCCTATCCTTCAAGAGATCAGTAGTTCGGTGTTAACACATCCAAAGACAAACAAGTGACTAGCGTGTGCAGGCACGTGTATGCTTTCTTTCTTGATTTGCCTCCTGTCCCCATCTTAACCACAAGAAATTTTTTGCTCCCTAATGGCTACAGAATGACACATACAGAAAAACAGCTATCTGAATTTCAGATCACATACTAACATGCATGAACAACAAAGGAAAAAAACTCTAATCCTTACATTAGAGAATATTAAGATCTAAGGGGAAAAAAATCCACATAAGCCTTCTACATACTTCTCCCTCTGTCTGAATCAACAGAAGACAAAGGTGCTTTCTTTTCCTTTCCAATGTTCCTCAGCAGCAGGGCTTGTCACCAGACTCATGCCTTCCATCAGGACTAGTCTGAAGTATTTCAAAGCAGGGGAGAAATAACTCTCTGCTGGTGTTTCAAAGAAAATTAGTTCTCGGGAATTCCCACAAGATGCAGTATTCTGGCAAGTTTGGGAGGATAAACATTAAGACCGCTGAAGCATCAGAATAGTATCTTACTTAAAGGAGAAGTTTTAAATATACCAGTGTTTCTGCATCTCTGTTATCAAAGCTTTAAAATATTTTGCTCAGTTGGAGTTGCGACACAGCTGCCTTACCCTCCAAGTCCACCCAGCTTTAACCACTCACTCCTGAAACACCAGCCTGTGCTCCAGGCTCCGGTGCAGCTGAGAGGATCCTCATTCTTTCTCCAGCTATTCAGCTTGGAAAATCATACATTAACACAAGACGGGAGCCAGAAAATTACTGGATGGTAGTCAGTTAAATAAAACACTTGGCACCAATAAGACACACGGGGTACCATAGGTCTTTACACTTCATGAATTCTCTGCTATATTATTACTAACACAATTACTCTGGGACGGTTGTTGAGCAGTGCAGCACAGAAAGCATTGGCTAAAAAGTTGTCAGCTGCACACACACACAAAAGAAGTCCTTGTCTGCTACTATAAGGTTTTTACCTTTAATTCCTGAATTGTAGTCAGTGACAAGCAAAGGACACAAATCCCAGAACGTGTTTGTGTTCGCACTGCCTCACATCACACATGGCAGCAGAACCTCTCCCCAGCATGAACAGAGCAGTCATGCCAGTCCTCATCCCTCCCTCCCTGCCTTTGTGGGTGAATCGGAAAGTGGCATTTTTTGGAAGCATAGTCCTTTTGGCAAATTCCAGCAGGAGCCCTCTTCTTCCACCAGCCAACATACCATTGCATGATGACCCATTTCCTCACTCCTTCCATGTTCAGCTAACTCACCCCCTCCACCCCAGCTTGTTGATTTCTGTCCTTAACACGGCATTTTGTCCATGAGGCATTTCATAAAATTTTGTGGCTGCAAGGAGAGTTGCAACTGTAGCAGAATCAGCCAGACCTAGAGTTGAAAATCTCTATTAACAAGTTATACTGCACACTGGCTACTGTTTTACATACTCTTCACTCATCCACCCTCTGTAACCTGGCTCTTAATCACCTAATTTCCCAGGCCCGTGTTCAGAGAAGGGGGGAGAGAAAGGCGAATCGGTCATATCCATCACAGCTGGGATTTGAACCTCTTGAAGGGCCCATTTATCATGTGATTAATGGCACACTCTGGCAAAAATAAAATGCGTTTGTCTAAGCTGGGGGGGGGGCAGGTGAGAAGGAGGTGGGTATCAGCACAAGGGGGAGGGAGGACTGGACCTGTATTTATTCCCAGGCATCCTGAAAAACACAGCATGCGTCAAGCCTTCCTCCTTAAGACCAGAGCCACGCTCTTGCAGAGGGGTCCCCTTGCCTCCCACCCACGGGGCAAGAGACTGCCCGAGGGTCCGGCGGTGGGCAGCCGAGGCAGCCCCTCGCCACCAACCCTCCAACAAGGCGAGGAGCGGGAGCGTTCGCTGGCAGCCAGCTCTGCCAGGCCGCCGGGGAAGCTCTCCGGCCAGCCCTCGCAATTCAGGGCTGGGAAGCGTGTCGGCTCGGACTCAGCACGACAGCTGAGGCCAACGGTAAGAGCGGGTCATAGTGGAGCAAGGCTGTGCGCAGCACTGAGCCCGCCTGCCCCCTCGCAGGGCAGCCGTACTGTGCTGTCCGTGGCGGAGGGCTTGGGTGGCAGCCGGCGTGCAGTGCCAGCCAGCCCTGGAGAGGAGGCGACGGCTCGGCCCCCCAGCACTGCTCCCTCCGCTGACTGCAAGCCGGTGTCTCAGGCCGTGAGGAGCACCAGCAAGAGCAGGTCCCCATGCAGATGTTTCTAACCAAACCAATACTCAGGCTGAGCGGATCGAAAGGTAAAAGCTGCCCTAGACAGGGAGCAAAGGCTTCCCACCAGCACAGGCAAGCCCTGCGGTTGTTCTGTGGCACCATCTAGTGCTAACAAACTAACAACGCTCTGGGGAAAACAAACCCATCCTGCGTTACACCCAGCTTAGCAACGACGCAAAATAAAGGCACAGAAACACATATCCAAAACAAGCAAGGCAACTAATGATAACCCACTTTCACTTTTACGCATCATAGGGCCTACTTCTGTCACTCCAGTATCAAAACGTTTCTGTCGAGTAATCCGAACTGGCTGCACACCTCTTAACGTCCCGGCGGCACGCACCTTGGAGCCCGGCCACGCTCATTACCACTATTCCCATCAGACTCGGCAGATGAGCCAGTAACAGCCATATGGTCTTTAAACGTACATGCAGCCTTGCAGCTGCCTCTCGCTCCTGTTCCAGGCTGGAGGCCACACCGCTGCACCGCGGACACACTGGAAACCCTGGCTGAAGGGCAATGACAGCGGCTCCCAAACAACGACCCATCCGCCTTTTGGAAGGTGGTCAGATACAGCACTGACGCACATCATCTCCAACGGGTACTATGGTACAGGAAGAGATGAGCCCAGCTCCTGGGGATGCTGGCCTCTACAGACCATTAGCTTAGAGATTAACATCCCTGCTCAGACTCAACCACAGATCCCAAGCGGTTCCCTCCTGTTCTGGGAAGTTACATCTACTTGCTCCAATGTTATCACCACACTAGTTGCTGGGGTGGCTTCTTTTTTCTATTTCCTACATCCAAAAAAGTTCACTACTTATTATAAACCTAGATGATAAAAAAAGGTTTTATTTTTTCCAAGAGCAGCTTAGTGTTTACAATTTTTACAGCTGCTTATTCACAGCATCCAAGGAATGATTCCTGCAACACTGAAGAACTTCAGTGCCAGGTTCTTCAGCCTTCAAGTATTCAAACAAGTTTGCCTTTAAAACAGTAGAAAAGGTGATTTTTCTGCAACGATGAAGTCTCCAAAGAGTTAGAGTCCACATCCTTAAATTGTGTAAAGATCTATGGCTTTTGAAATGCTGAAATCTAGTTGTTTTTTTAAACTCCCTGTTGGATCCAACTGAATAATGACAAGCTTGCATTCCCATGGACAAAAACTGCTTTGAAAATCTGACCCAAGTGATAAATATGATTAACTCCAATGAACAGAACAAAGCAAATACTTCAAATGCCCCCACCCTCTTCACTATTTCTGTATTAAATCAGCACAAACAGAAACCTACTTATTTTGTGTACTTCTAACAGAATCAGTTTTCATTCAAATACAAATAACACCCCAGGTTTAAAAGAAAATCCCCTCCCCCCAATCTGTAACAGAATTACAAATTAAACTTTGGGAGAAAAACTATATCAATCTATAGAGCTGCTTAAACATACATCAGTGACACTTTAGCATATAAGTAAAATTACACAGGTAAAGCATGAAGCATTCCAAAACCAAACCAACCTTCCTCTTCACCCCACTCCCAAGCCTTGGTTTTAAGTCAGCAAAACCCCATGACCTAAACAGCAATTAAGTCACTTAAGACATGTTCTTGCTTGTCAGCAAACACCATTTCTAAAATTATCCTTGCTAGAAATGAACGCTGAAGTTCTAATAGCTAGGGTATCCTCCACATTCAACTGACCCTCAGTCGTTTTGGTCTGGACACCTCTTTTAGCCTCCAGCAGAGCCCAGAGGCACACATGATGCACCTGTCAGTCAGTATCAATACGCAAAGCACAGTTTGGTGCAAGAACCCTTCTCACGTCTCTGCAGCTCCCATTAACATTCTCAGTCCTTTCTGGATTTCAGCATATTCAGGTAAATCTTGGAGTATATTTGTGTATTCTTCCAGAAGACTGCTAGAGTTTGCTACACATTTAACTAGCCTAACTGTGGCAACAAGTGCTTTATCTCTATGGCAGATGTAAGAATCTGTATGTCCTCCCTCATTATTAGAAAGTCTTTTTTTAAACCATAACTATGCCTTGCATAATTAGCCAAGATAAGGAAGACCAAGGACTAGAGAATCAATTATTTCTATTTCTTGTTGTTAAAGTTGACAAATTCAGGTCTGACAATCACCCAATATAACAATTCTGTTTTCTGAATACAAGCCTTTGGGAAGTGAAGTGATAACAATGAACCATCAAGATGTTACAATCAGCAGAGAGGAAAAACACAAACATGCCTTTTATTCTGAGTGGATAGAATTGCCTAAGATGTGTCACCATCTCAAATAATGAAAGCTGGCAAAGGTACCAAAAGGTCAGTTAGAAAAACAAAAACCACAGGATAAATGAAATGGGCTGTAAGCCAATGTCTCGTGAATAAACCACAAAGATTGGACACCACTGACTTTCAACACTCAAACCTGAGCCAATAGGTTCCCATGACTTAGTCTTTGATCACATAATATACCTGCAACACTTGGTGACAAGACCTGCACAGTCACATACAAAATCTGCTTGAGATTAAACACAATATTCATTTTCAGATGGTGGTGCTCAGCAGAACCTATCAACAACAGGGAAAGCTAGCAAAAACGCATTAGTTTCATGTTTTATTTTTCATGTTGGTGAAACACACAGCCTCTTTTCAAGAAGCAGCATCTGTAGAGCTGTTACAAACACATTTTGTACTCTAATACACCACAGATTTGGAAAAAGAACAAATAAAGCACAGGTTTCACACTGCACTTGAGCATACTGGATCTTAAGTTACAGAGGATTTAGAAATCTTCTGAGTTTACATATACATTGCATTGGCCATCGCTCAGCCTTCATGCACAACTTATTTTTCTTACAGTCAACACTGGTTTTGGAAACTTTCTTGCTGTAAATGGTGTCTTCCACTTTAAATCACTGAAATATTTACATAATAAGTGTGCAAATTGCTTTGAAAGATAGACACAAACACTAACACATAATATACAGACAGCTTCTTCTATAGTTAAACGTTTACTAAAAGGCAGTTAACATTCCTATCACAATTTCATTGCCTAAAATAGGAGAATAAGTTATATAAAATAGACCTTCTTATTTTCAGACACTTCAATTTCTGCAGATTTGGTCTTTGCAGCAACATTGCAATTAAAGATTAAAATTCTACTCCTAAGATTCAGAGAAGCCCCTTTCAATTTAATGGCAGCTTAACATGTGTAGGTACAAGTTACTTTTGTCCCAGATTTTCCACACTTGGCACAAGGAAAAAAGCAAAAAGCTGGGGGAGTGGGAAGACAGTCTTGCACATCTATTTTTTTTTTTGGCAATATGAAAAATATGCTTTAAGAATCCAATGCATAAATTTCAATTTTTCTTTTAAGGGCCTGTTAGCATTACAAGCACAGTTTAAATAAAGTCTGCAAGTTCTTTCACAGAAGCACACAAGGCTCCCAATTTTTATTCTTATGCATGCCATCTTCTCAGATATGTACAATTGTTCACACACACAGTAGTAGACTCCTTGGGACCATTCAACAAAACTTATTTCAGAATCGGATGCAGCAGGAAATGCTTGAAGAAAATTACTTAGTGGTCCCAGTGCTCCTACATGTGTGGTTTTTTTCTACTTGTGATAAAGACTCTCCATAAAAAGTGCATGGTCACCTTCATGAACAAATCCAGAAGGCAGAAGTTAAGTAAACTAGAGTGAGTTGCTCCAATGGTGAAAACGGATGAGTTACAGGAAAGTCTTCAAAACTATCTTTCGTGTACACCTGTAATCATTCTCAGAGAGAAGCAACTCACTTCCTAAAATTTTGTTTAGACTATTTTATAGAAAACTTCTATATACATCATTATTAACAAAGGGAAATTAATCTGTCAGATAGTAAAAAACTACAGGTGTAGTCTCAAATAGCTTTAAAATGCAAGGTTATTACTACATAATACAAAGAGACAAAACTGTTTTTTGAACACCCATGAAATCAAATAGCGTGACTTTTACAGCAGCCCTACCTGCAAATTATGCTGTAGTTCATGCACCCATCACAATGCTACTGAATGCTATCCACCCCGAGGAAAGTGAGTTATTAGCCCTCTAAAAGCTTACCTTCATCACAACTATGTCTGACACACTGATGTCAGACATCACATATGTCAGACACATGGCTTGATATTTTTTAAGACATCCAATTCCTTAATATGGCAGAAACTGTACCAACTCTTAACACTGTGCTTTTGGTCTATTATTTATTGAACTTTGGGCATTACGTATCACACACAAATCCCTGCTGGATTCCAAATGATCTCACCCTAGTGCAGATTTTTATTAGATTCTTCTGAAGAAAGAGACCATAGGCATAACTTCTAGTGCTGTCAGCATTTAAGCATAAAATGGTCAAACACATTTAAGACACTACAGAAGCTTGCAAAACTAATGATGACTCGAAACCAAATAAAAATAGACAAGATGCATTAAAATTTGGTTACTTTGGATTCCAAGCTAGTTTGAAAAACGCCGTTTGTAAGAGAGCGCTGTTCTATGCTTTGAAAATATGAAAGAATAAAATGTCTTTGTAGTGTATTGATTAGTAAATAAACACCTAGAACACTCATTAACTCAAACATATTATTGAAATATTCCACCTAAGTTTTTGTTAAACATTGTCTTCAGAGCTTTATATTCAATGTACATTATCTGCTACTTTCCGTTTCTTTTTTGGTTATGGCATGCTTCAGACATCGCTAAGAAAGGTTGTCCACTCCTTCCATTCCCATGGTGTACATTACAAACACTATGCACACATTTATTTCCAAAGACTTCAGGTCAATAAAGTTCTTGAGATGAAGATGTGTGTATACTTTTAAGCTTGCAAGATAGCTTCAAACTAGTTGACTTAGTATTTTCCACACCCACATGGATACTGCTTGCAAAGAATAAGGTATTAAAATAATATTCTGCAGTGGAGTAAAAACATATTGAAAATAAACTGAATGCTCCCCCTAGTGCTTGTACTAGTGAAAAATCCTCCCTGGCACAGTCTGCCTTAAACCGTGTTAAACAGAAGATAAATAGCCAGATGCATGATGGTATATTTAACTCAGAAAACAAATCACAAACATATTCCTTGAACCAAAAAGTGTCAACTGTTGAAATCCAGCATTTAAAATTTTGTACCACTTCCCCTGCTACAGTGCTTCTGGGGTTTTGGTTTCTTTTAAACTGTGCTTTTAGTAAAAATTTCTCTCAAATTTTTCCCATCAACTGAAGGCAGGGCCCTGAGGAAGCTCCTACCAGGTCAGAAATGAAGTCCAAAGAAGTTTCAAGATGACAGGTACAATCATGCTTTTTCTCCTGTATTGTACCCAGAAGCTGCCAAATTCATATTAGCATTCCCATATCACAATTGCAATGAAGCTCTGGTAAATCTGGTACCTTTGGATACGCTCAACATCACAAATAAGTCAGATATTTAAGACTATGTCTGTAGCTAGCATAGTCCACCAGAATATTCATCCTCCTCCTCATCAGCATGAGAGCCCACGGCAGCTGGTCCTCTTGCTTTGTCTTGTGCAGCGTTGGGCGACTTCTTCTTGATTCCACCTCCCGGGACCACCAAGGTAAGACCAAGCTTGGCATACTGACAATAACAAGGCAAGTTTAATTTCTGTACTATCACTGAAGTAAAATCTTGTTGAATTACACTGCACAGAATTGACTGATGCTCACAATAAACAAGCAGGTAACATTCAGTCCAGAAAACACATTGATGCTGCTTTCAGAGTACATTTTTCCAGCTTAGAAAAAAAATGAACCAATGTTAGGCTTATTCCATCTCAAACACTCTGAAAATGGGATGCGAGATCTGTATTGATACTGCTTATTATAGAATAATTTGGCCACATCCTACAGCTTCTGTGGTTCAAGCTTTACTTAAAAATAATTTTTCAGTATGCAGCTATACATACATTATCTAGTAATAGTTCATGTAAGACATCTTACAAGTGTTTTTCAGTAAGACTAACACCTTAATTTTTAGTATTCGACATAGTAACAAGGCAAAATTAGTCAATACTGTTACAAAGTTTGGCATGGATGGATGTCTCCTTTACTTCACACATTTCCTATCCTTATACTTCCTACAATTTACAAGTACAATTGAGAGAAAGAGGGAGAGGAAGCGGGAGAGAAAGCGGGAGAGAAAGCGGGAGAGAAAGCGACCAGAGAAAGCGACCAGAGAAAGAGACCAGAGAAAGAGACCAGAGAAAGAGACCAGAGAAAGAGACCAGAGAAAGAGAACAAAAAGAACAAAAAGAAAAAGAAAAAAAAAGAAGGGGGGGCAGACAACACACAACCACTTAAAATTAAAAAAAAAAAAAAAAAAAATCTTTCACTAAGTAGTACCCTGCTGAGGAATAAGCACTGAAAAAACATTCAACAATGCCATCCTGTAGGCATCATATTCTGTAATGTTTACACACCCATATCAACGATATGGTATTTCTGAGATAAAGCATAAGCAGCAAACTATTCTGGCCCCTAAGGAACCAAGGAGAAGGGAACTGAATTTTGGTCAACTTGTCAAACTCAGCAAATCCATAACAAGTTGCTCTTTCACCTAAGCCTTCCCACCATCTGAAAGGAACAACAATGTGGGAATTTACATCGGCAGGCAGCAAAGTAAAAGAATACCTGATGTTCACAGGCACAGGGTAGGATGACAGGACAAATCACAGTAAATACATGGACCCTGCCCTTCTTATTTTCCTCTACTAGAAAAAAAATATCTCTCAACCTAACAAGCAAAAGCATTATTAAAAAAATCCATAGGAACTGCCTACTTACATCATTGTCCATGTATTTGAAGAGTGGCAAATTACAGACTTCAGAAACTTGATCCTGATCCTGCTGGTCATACCCTTCTAAAAGTTGCTCTAGCGCTGCACAGTCTTCACTTCCATTAAATCCTGGTATACTGAAGGAAATAAAGAGTTCATTTAGGGCGTTTCAGCAATCTACTTGACACTCAGCTATTCCATCTTTAAATGCTGCTGATCAATAGCAGAAGAGCAAGCAGCTTTTAAGAATCTGATGGACTGCTTATTCCACAAAACTGCCTATAACCATTTTGATTTCTCCAGGTACATGGATCATAACCATAAAATTAAACTTGCAGCAACATTAGTTTGCATGCTGAGAGTAAGACCACAATCATAGTCAAGACAGAAAGAGAGTATTAAATTTTTCAATTATTCCTGACCCGTCAATAAACAGTTCCTCTACTCTGCATGCAGAAAAATTCTGTAATGAGTTTCTATACATAAAATAGAAATTGAAGACTTGGAAAATATAAGCAAGATGTTTAAAGACTGATCTTGATTCTTCCTAGAAACAAAGTACAATTTAACTTACACATATGTTCAAGTCATTTCACTAAAAGCACAGTTTAAGAAAAATATGTTGTTTCAGTATTTTGTTACTGAAGTCCTAACAAAAGCTGAAACACAGAGTTGCTGGGAAAGCCTCTGGAACCAGGGTTAAACGCTAATCCAGGTTTTGATACCAGAATTTTCTCCTGGATGTGTAAAGAATGCCTTCTTCATTTCAATGTATTCAACTGGACTACTTTTCACTTCCTAAATTATCTTCCAGTTCAAACAACTATCTAAAAACAAAAAAAGTCACAAAAAGTAGAAATCCTGCTTTTCTTCTTCCGATGTATGACAAGGGCAAGATCTCCTAGACCAACATAACCAGAAATGTAGTAATTCACATGCTGCAAACTTTTCTTTAACAAAAACAGTTAAGATTAATCTTTCCTTCAATCTAATCACCATACTAGATAGTTTAATTGATTATACTGGGATGCTGCTATTGTGCATTTTGAGACTGCATTCCATATTTCGATCTTCAAACTGTAATAAAACATGGTAATGGCAAGTTAGAATTCAACTTTTTAAGGGCCTCCACACATGACATTGCGTAAAGATTCTGAAAAAAATAAAATTCAGGTAGCAACACCCAGAAATACCCACTTTTAATCCTGAACATTTGTTTACAATAGCTAATCCATCTCTGTTCCATTTGAAGAAAAGACACAGCCCAAAGGATATCAGTAAGGCAAGAATCCCAGCCATAACAATATTCTGCTCAGCTTTTAACAAGGTAAAAAAAAATAGGAAGACTTTCTAATTTCCATCTCATTTCACCAGTCACACATAACTACTTCTTTATGACTAACTTTTAATTTTAGGTTCATTAAGAAGAATCACCATGGTAATTACAGCTAAACCTGTTACAAGTGAAAAAAAATCCTGATAGCCATACACCAGGGAATGCTATTATTGTACTGTAAGTCAAGAGAAGTACAGGCTTAAAATTTCTTGACAGTGTTTCCATTACTCTTTCATAAGAATACATCTACATTAATGAAATATTCAGTTTAAAATTACAGGTCATGAAGTAGACTTACCTATAGCTTTCCCTCACACATCTTTCTGCAGCAACATAATCATTTCTGTGAAGATGAACTAAGACTTGAGCAATAGTTTTCTAAACAAAAACAAAAAAAACCAACCTGATGATTCTTTAGAAATTAACAGTTAAATATGAGAAAAATACTGGACTGCTAATATTTAGTGTGAAAAAGGTCACTATGATCCACGATAATTCTAAGATACTGACACAAGAGTCAGAATAACACAGTGAGAAAGTAGTAAGCCACACCCTCAGGAATTATCGCCTGTAATATTGTAATGAACTGTTGCACCAAGTAACAGTTTTGTGATTTGTTATTTTTGATAACACATCTTTATGTGTTTGTTGTTTTTGACAGCTCCTGTAGATAACAGTGTCTTATCTTCAACATTATAGTAGTGAAAAAAGCAGTTAGAGGCTGGGGAAACATGCACTATCACAAATTCTCATTATTTGGCAAGAAACATATCCCCATATCAAGAGGTACATATTGTCAGTCAGATGTCAGCTGTCAGGAGTTACGCAGAAACACTCAAAATGCACTGTCAGAAATTGTGTCTTAGAATTTACCTTATAGCATGTTGGATAATTTTCAATTTCCTTATAAATACTTTTTTCCTTTTGAAGAGACAATGCAGCCTCATCTAATCTAAAAAACCAAAAAAAGTTAGCAGTATCAGTGCCAGGAACACAGCATAATGAACATGAGGCTAATTACAAAGTGTTTAACTGAGACACTGCCAAGTCTACTGGAAAAAAAAGCAACACAACTAAAAATCAGCAGTACACCTTACTAACAGACTAGATGAAGAAATATATAGTCAGCAGTTCCTTTTGTATATGTGCAGGCTAAGAACATATCTTGTATTCATTCAGAGAAACCTCATTTTTCGTAACATTGTACAAGACGAATGCCTTGTTACGTACCCTAACAGATTTCTGTATGTCATGAGGTTACAATAAGCTATCACTGTCAGATATCCATGAACTTTCAATATTAAGTCACAGTAACTGCTTTTGAGTTTGAATACAATTTAATCATCATATTAAACTTCTAGAAGTTAGCAACAGCACGAGCTACAAAGCAGCAGAGCAACTGAGTCCTTCAGATGTCCTGAAGCTATGTTGACTTGCTTTGACAGAAAGACTTTCAAGATACTTTGTAAATTTCCTTTTCTGACTACAACTCTGCAGTGATAAAGTGTCTTAAAGGTAGAGTTAGAAACCCAGACAATTTCTTAAAGGAACTACATGTTTCAGTGAAGCAAGTCTATGCTGAACTGCAGGTCAAGTTTGGTGCTAGCAATTAACAATTAAAATAAATTCCCATTGAGACTCCAAAATACACTCTTCTTTAAGAAGTCCAGAATCAGACTGCTGCAAACAGATTTCTCTCCTCAGCTTAGCCACCTAATTCCCCTGTTTTATATTCCGCAGCTATAAAAGACTTTCAAGTACTTTCTACATATTAGTGCTGGAAGAAAAAGAAAAAAAATAATTCCTGAAGTAGTTTAAGAATTAATGAAAACTGGTGTATGTGCTTTCTAGCTGTTCAACAAACACAAAGGAAACAAAAACTTACAGCCCACATTCTCCCATCGCAGAACACAAAACAGGTGGTTCCTGGATGAACATGGCAATCCCACAGAAACCGGATTTTAGTTTGAAGTGTGTCTCAAAGTAAAATTAAGTAACAGTATATAAACCCAACAACAGCAAGAAAAAAAAACCACCAGTGAAAATCACTATTAAAGATTCAATTACATTTAAAAAACCAAGAAGGCATAAAGCTATACCTGCGTCCCCTGACTAGAAGTCTTGATGCCTTCCCTAGCATTTCTAATGCTTGCCGTAAACGTTCTTCATTCTAGAGAAGAACAAAAAGAATTCATGCATTCATATTTCATTTGCATAGAATTAAGACCACTAGACCTTAATCCAAGTATGTCATCTGTAACTTAGAACAACTGTTAATTATTGTATCAGCAGTTCACACACTCAAGGGAAACATGAAGAGTAATGGCGCACCCAAGTCCCACAGCCAACTCCTGTACGCATCTACAGAGCAAAGTAACATCAACGCAAACTTGCTCATCTGGAAGCACGTGGCAAGTGACGACAGAGAAGCACGCCAAAGGCAGTAGCAAAAAGGCAAATCACCTGCTCACAGGATGGGTAGACTATTAAGCAAATTCTTCTCTTCTGTGCCTTGAAGGATTTCTAACTATTTTAGGCTCCAGGACTCAACAGCAGCCATGTTGCCTACCCTCTGGACTGCCCAACAAGAGGCAGAAAAGTTGACAACATACAAAATTCAGATTCAGTCAAGTCCCAAACTGAGAAAAAGGCAAAGCAAACTGACTCCTAACTTTTGTAATCTCCCCCTCTGCAGCATAAGAAGCCCTCAGCCTCCTTACTCAGCCACTGATGTGAAAGGAAGGAAAAACTATTTGGAACGTAATCTTAGGCTTTGTCTTAACTTTATAGCTGACCCTAAACACCAATTCATTCATCTTTGTATACTTTCTGGGACTGGAAAGTTCTTTGCTGGTGGAAAAATGAAAAACAACAACCTAAAAACCCCCCACTTACTTCAAACACTGATGCTGCTTGCTGATAGAGCTGCACAGCCTTCTCTGGGCTCACGTTTTCTATTAACCTGTAATAAACATAAATCATTTCTCTTCAGATGAAATATTTTTTACCTAAAAGCATCAAAAAGACAAGAAAGAAAACCAAAGATATACCCATGCCCTGCATGCACCCTAGCCACCAATACCACAGACTTACTTTCCAGCCCGTTCCAGTGCAATAGCTGCTGTGTCTGGTGTCCCGTTCTCCAGGTACATCATACTGGCTTTCTCAATCAGCTGAACTGCTTCAGGGAGTCTCTGCATCTCCTGCAAAGCAACAGTCAGAGGGATGTGGCTGTCAGGAGTTGTGCTGATGTACAATGAAACAAATCAAAGCAAACTGTAATATCTTATTTATTAAGATTCTGATTTTTATTTACAAACTTGTAGAACCAGTGAAAGTTGACCACCAACTCCATCAAATTCACTTGTAAGTACCAAGCTTTCATGCAAGGCCTGAATTTGTGGTAGTTTAGAGAAGAAGCAGCACCACTCTTCTGTTACCCCCTAACACGAGGCACTCACCTTTTCTTCTACAAGAAGAAAACCTTTTTTTTTTCCCAAGTGTCACTTCCCTCATCTACCAAGGGTGTTAGTGACGACTACGAGTCAACAGAAAAATATCACTTCAATATGCAATGCACGTAAACATATATTTGTAAAATGGTCCCTTGCACAACATCCTTCATTATAAAATAGAACTTTTTATTAAAAACTGATAAATGAAAATACCTTTAACATCATGCCAGCTTGTTCATAAGCTCTGCAGAAAAAAAAATTTACAATTTAGTTAGATATGGTGTATTTCAGCAAGCTGTAGTTACACAGCAAAGTTAAGACGCATCAGCTATCACTTCACTGTTAATATTAAATGCTTTGAAGATATTTCAAGTGTTTTGTTTAATGAGACAGTGTATGTGTAACATTGTCTTCCACAAATTAAATACTTCAACCACGCTCCCCACTAAAAATCTATTCTCATGATCTGACCCACAGGCACTATTTGGATTATTTGTCATTAACAGCTTGCTTTGAAGTACTCTTTAATTAAAAATTTCTTTATAAGCTCAACAGTGTAGAATTTCAAAATTACAAAAAGTTAATCTAAAAAAAAACATTTGATATCAAAAGATGCTGAAGAATGTCAAAATCATCATTTCTTCAGATGGCCATTGCAGGTTTTCAGACTTCCTAGCCCACGCTTCCATTAAACTCATTTTGAAACAGCAAAATCACTTGAACCATACCATTTACTACAGCGAGATCAAAACGATAGTTCATGCTTGTACCATATGTCAGAAAATTTGTTTCAGATTACTCAGTGCTTCTATACTTACTTGGCAGCATGGAAGAGACTGGAAGTAATATTGTCAAAGTCAAGGACAAAAGCCACAAAAATATAATGCAGAAAAATTGTTAGTGTACAAAATCTTACAGAAGCACTAGTTTCAAAGCAAGGAATCCCATAAAGGCAAATCGAACCTACTATGTCTGTAGACAAGGCATCAAAAATAAATGCTTCTAAGGACAGAATAAACACAACATACCAAAGTATAACTGCATGTAAAGTTGTAAAAAGCACATTTATTTAAAATATGTTCCTGGTTACTAAATACTACTACAAGTACTGTAATAATGTCAGAGTTGCATTTAGTTTATAGTATCCATTTGTAGGTATTTAAAAAAAAAATATTAATTTCTGAAGCAGTACCTAGACATCTCAGGCACTGGTCAGCATCTTAACACTCCAGATGCTAATAGAAACGACACAGATTTTCTAACCAAAAGAGTTCTCCCACTCAGACCACACAGGAATATTCTTCTAATAGACAACTTTGTTACATTGACAAAATGTGCAAATATATTAAATACATCTTCTACCAACCCCCATTAACCCATTCTAAGTAGCAACTAGTCAGCTTCTTGGAAAAAAAGAGTATCAGTCAATGAAAAGATACGCTTTATTGTTTTCATGTGCCTCAGCTTCCCGTAAACAGGCTTCCCTTGCCTGGTCAAACTGCTTGGCATTCTTAAAAGCAACAGCTGCAAGAAATCAAATAAAGTTCTTATTTACAGCTTGCCATTTTCATTTTTTCACCACTTCTACTCAAGAATTTAGCCACCGAAAGATGCAAACAGATTCTTTAAATGAATAGTTACAACTTACCAAGCTCTTCCAAAAAATCCCATCACAGTCCTCCTTGCTTCATTAGTCACTTAGTTACCATTAAAAACATTTACTGTCAACAACATATCCATGCCATCACTGTACCACATTGTGCATAATGTGTTTAGCTGGATTTTGGAACTCACTCATTCTGTATTTTAATTACAGAACTGCAGGAATGCATAAGTTTACAGTTTTAATCATTAGAGGTTATATAAAATCAGTATGGCAGGAGTAGAAGTATATCATCAACAAAGCATACCTACAACAACTTCCTCAACATAACCACTTCAGGGCACAAATATGTATTTCTATCTCCATTAGACTGATAGGATATTAAAGTGGGATTTAAAATAAATTTCAATTTATAAATGCTCCAGTTGCTCTTCCAAGTTTGTATTTTTTTATTCAGGCTTAAATGAATGAATAGGCATGCCTAGAGTAAGAAGCCAAAAAAAATCACAATAAATTACTATTATCAAAACCAAGAAAATTGTTTAAGAGCAAAAAGGAATCAACTAGTAAGAATTTTATATTCAGTGTGACACTTACTGTGGAAGAAAAGGAGGAAAGAGATCTTACTATGCCTAAAAAAAAAAACACCTGGCAGCATCTCTCTATCATACTGAGACAGTCTTTGTCAGGACATACTTCATAAGATGATGAAAAAGCAAAGTTTTAAAACCAGCTCGAATATTTGTTGTTTTGTAGGTAAAGTCATGGGATTTGGGGGTGGACAAGTGAAAGAAGGAAAGCGTTTTTATTACATGTAGTAATATATACAAAGTAGAAGTTGTAAGCTTGGAAAAAAAAAAATTTGTTTTGACAACAGTTCCAGATGTCCAAGTACAATCTGAAATTTATTTTACAGTGCTACTAAGAGTATTTTGTTGTTGTTGTTTCATCTTCTTTTGTCTTCACAACAGTTTTACTTACACAGCAATGTACTGAAAATACATAAAATGTTATCAGGGATTAAGCTTAAAGAATACTTTGAAACCATAAAGTATATGGCCATATTTACAGTCATACATACCCGCCTTCCCATATTCAGTAGCTGCACTGTCATAATCTGGTTTCCACTTTAAGAATCCAGTTTTCAGACTAAAATGCAAGAAGAAAGGCCTATTAACAACTAGTAAAGATTTTATGTTTTACCTTCAAAGCACTTTAGATATATTTAAAACTTTAGTTTACCTCCAAAAAGGAGCAATTACCCATTTGCCAATACTATGGTGGCATCACTACTATAAAAATAAATGCCGGCATTGTTAGGAATTGCATCAAACACTGCAATGATCTCCCATAGTTACATGCATCGCCTCTAGCTGTCCCCAGACAGTCTACACAAGCCCAGCTCCTCAACAGTAAGAAGTCAACAGAACAAAAATACTTCCACCTACACCAACATGGTATCTCAAGATTTCTACTACCACAACACCTGGCAATATTTTTTGTTACACATCACAAAGTTTCCAGTGTTCCTCTACAGTAATTTTTTGCTGCTGAGAATTATCAAAGACTCTCCATCGCATACACAAATGAAAGAATTTAGTTACCAACACAAAGACAAAGCCTCATGTGTCATTTATACGTCTACAATAGATCATGACACTAAATGGTGCCACGCAGATACACATATAGGGAACAATACATTTCAAAACGAGGTGAGTCATCAGGCAACGCTGATTTCAATATCATGACTTCCTCACTTCTAAAACGAATATAAAAATTCCCATAACTTTAGAGTCCACTTCCATATTTGTTGCAGGCAGACACTTCAGATGCAATATACGCTTAGTTTGGAAAAACAGTTGTATATAGACTATGTTGGTTTTGTTGTCTTACTTGGATGAAAACCACAGTACGTAACTCTAAAGCAAGCCTTTATATTGTGTTATTTTTATCACAGGCAAAGTCTCAAATGCATCGAGCTGAAATACACAATGCTTTAATACACACACAACTTAAGATGTAGGTGCCTTTTACTTCAAATGCTTTCCAGGATAAGCTTAAAATGAATTCCACTGAAAGGCACTTTTGGTCAAGTAATTTGACTAAGATACTCTGGTACAGGCTTTTTTATTCTGAGGAGATCTCTCCTCTATCACAGTTCATACTTTTGATCCATGATTTCCAGATGGCCTGTCACTATTCTTACTAAAATTATAGCATCTCTGGATTAGTCAGCTGTATTACATCTATACTGTAGTCTGTGAAATTGAGACTTACAAGCAGAATGGCTATGTTCAGTGTTAAAATCCACATTAAAAGACTATCGTATGTAGATGTTAAAGCCTCTAAGCTAAATGTCAGCACAGGTCTTTGAGGCCATCTAAAAAGGAACAATCGCACATTTCTCATAGGCGGGAAGCAAACAAATACACACACACAGACACCCACCTCAGCAAGGTGAAGCTCTTTATTCACCACAATCCCCCCTAACTCTTTCCTCCCGCTTGCCTTTCTCCCACTAACTTAAGCAGAAGTGTCTCCCCTCCCCTTCCCCTTCGGGCCAGGGCAATAAAGGCTGCCTGGCCCTTGAGGAAACTGCCCAGGCCTCCAAGCCCTACAGCCTCGCCGACACGACTTCTCCGGTTTAGGGCCGCTTTATTCTCCCAGTTCGGGGCCGAAGGGTGCCCTTTAGCAGCCACCCCCCCTAGGGAGGGACCCCGAGGCAGAAGAGGGGCCAAGCGGCCACGTCCTCCGGCTCCCTCCGCACCTCCCTCCCCTTCCCCCGCGGTCACCTCGCCTGGCACCTGCCGCATCCCTCAGCCCCGCGCTTCGGCCTCCCCCCCGCGCCCCACCACTCCGCGCAGGGCGTCATGGGAGCTGTAGTTCGCCCGAGGCCTCCGCTCCCCGCACGGGCGCCGGAGAGAACTACAACTCCCAAGAACGCGCCGCCCCCGCCGCGGCCCCGGGGCGAGGAGGGGGTGCCGAGCCGCCGGGCGAAGCCTGCGGACGGCAG